ATTTAACTTTTCTATGTCTGGTTTTCTAATTTTCAAAATGGAAATAATAGTAGTCCTCACCTCATGGAGTTGTTGTGGGAATTAAGTGAGACACTATATGTAAAGTACTTAGAGCAGTGCTTGGCACACAGTAAGTCTCAATACATCTTAGCTATTATTATTGTTATTACTAGAGGCCTGGTGCATGGATTCGTGCACTGGTGGGGTCCCTCGGCCTGGCCTGTGCCCTCTTTCAATCTGGGACCCCTCGCAGGCCAGGCCTAGGGACCCCACTAGTGCACGAATCCGTGCACGGGCCTCTAATATGCATATAAGATCTTTGGTTAATCTCTTCCCACCCTGCCCCCTCCCCACCTTCCTCTGAGATTCATCAGTCTGTTCCATGTTTCTATGCCTGTGCTTTCTGCTCTTGCATTGAGTGTCTGCCCCTGGTGGTCAGTGCACATCATAGCCACCAGTCAGTTGGCTGGTCGTATAGGCTTTTATACATATAGATTATTATTATGATATATGTATATATGTGTTCATATGTATACATATGTTACATCATTCCTTTTGAGGTTAAACATGGATTTATACTGCAAAATATGCTTTGTAGCTTACCTTTTCTCATAGAAATGCATTATATAAATTATCTCAGGTTATTAAAAAGTTTTCTATTATAAGATGATTTTTTAATGACTGCAAAATATTCCAGCCTGTAGCTATATTACAGTGAACTTTAACAAATGTCTTATTATGGACACATAGGTTTTTGTTTACAAGGTATAGCATGAACCTTCTTATAACTAAATTCTTTTCCTACCTTGGATTATCTCCTTAGACCCGTGGTTGGCAAACTGCGGCTCGCGAGCCACATGCGGCTCTTTGGCCCCTTGAGTGTGACTCTTCCTAAGCCTTAGGAGTACCCTAATTAAGTTAATAACAATGTACATACCTATATAGTTTAAGTTAAAAAAATTTGGCTCTCAAAAGAAATTTCAATTGTTGTACTGTTGATATTTGGCTCTGTTGACTAATGAATTTGCCGACCACTGCCTTAGACAGATTCCTTAAATTGGAATTGTTGGATCAAAGAGTATGAAAAAATATACATATATCTCAATTGCTTTCCAAGAAATTAGCTCCAGGAGAGCATGAGAATGCTTAGTTCTTTGCACCTTCAATAACACTGGATGTTATCACTCCTTGGATGTTTTGCTTTATTTGAGTACAAATAAAATGGAATATTTTTGTATGTTTACTGGCCCACAGGGTAGGCAGTTTTCCAGACCATTGAACATTGGCTTAGGAAGTCGGGATTCAGTGGACCTTGCCATGGAGGGCCTCACCTGCCCACGGGTTGCACTTGGCACTGGGTACATGGGGTGGAGATGCCAGGAGGTTAATAAAATGTGTCCAAGACAAAGTAGCCCAGTTTACCAGTTAGTTTAACCAGAACCAGCCCTACATAAGAGATTTATGATAAACTTTACAACAGTAAAACTGTGAAAGGTAATGAAAGATACATATGGACTATTCTTAATTTTCTAAAATTGGCAAAATATAGAAATCTACACTAATAAAAGACAAACATGCAAATTGACCATACCTTCGCTACGCCTTAGGCTATGCCCACCAGCCAATCAGAGCAACTATATGCAAATTAACCCAACCAAGATGGCGGCCGGCAGCCACGGAGCTGGAGCAAGCAGGAGGCTTGTTTGCCCCAATGATGGAGGAAGCCAAGCTTCCTGCCTGCCGCGATGGCTCTGAGCTCCACTCAAAGCAACAAAGTTTCAATTATAGAAGGTAAATAAACCCCAGATACCTGCTTTCAGCTGGCCGTGGCCACGGAGCTGGAGCGAGCAGGAGGCTTGGTTGCTCCAGTAATGGAGGAAGCCAAGCTTCCCACAGCTGGCTGTAGCTTCCGCAAAAGGCAACAAAGTTTCAATTATAGAAGGTAAATAAATCCCAGAATAAAAATAAAAAGAAAAAAAGGAGAGGCTGGGAGCATCCATCACCGGGGGGCTTGGCCAGCCTGAAAACGGGCCTCAGCTCCTCACCCAGACTGGCCAGGCACCCCAGTGGGGACCCTCCACCCTAAAGGGGGTGTGGCCAGCCTGAAAACAGCCATCAGCCCCTCATCCAGGCTGGCCAGGCACCCCAGTGGGGACCCCCACCCTGAAGGGGGTATGGCCAGTCTGAAAACGGCCCTCAGCCCCTCACCCAGGCTGGCCAGGCACCCCAGTGGGACCCCCACCCTGATCCGGGACACCCTTCAGGGAAAACCAGCCGGCCCCCACCTGTGCACCAGGCCTCTATCCTATATAATAAAAGGGTAATATGCAAATTGACCCTAACAGCAGAACGACTGGGAATGACTGGTCACTATGACACACACTGACCACCAGGGGGCAGATGCTCAATGCAGGAGCTGTCCCCTGGTGCTCAGCCACAAGCCAGGCTGACGGCTGCCAGCACAGCAGTGGTGGCGGGAGCCTCTCCCACCTCCTCAGCAGCACTAAGGATGTCCGACTGCAGCTTAGGTCTGCTCCCTGCTGGTAAGTGGACATCCCCCGAGGGCTGCCGGGCTGCCAGAGGGATGTCTGACTGCCAGCTTGGGCCTGTTCCCCCAGGGAGCGGGCCTAAGCCAGCAGGTGGACATCCTCTGAGGGGTCCCAGACTGCGAGAGAGCACAGGCCGGGCTGAGGGACCCCCCCGAGTGCACAAATTATTGTGCACCAGGCCTCTAGTATACATATAAAGAAGAAACGATCATACACATTAGCACTATGGAGAATTAACTATTTTAACTATTTGCTTCCAAGGGCTAATAGCAGAATGATTCCTAATGGGATTGGAATAAAAAAATAAAACAACAATAAAAACCCAAAATTTCTACCGTTGATAGATAAGTATGATTTTATCCATTTATTAACCCCCCCTCAAGATATATACATATATATGTAAAAAATGTGCCTTGAAGGATGTAACCTTTTATCTTGAGAGAAGGAAGTTAAAGGAGCTTTTTTTTTAAAAAAAAATATATTTTCTTGATTTGTTTACAGAGAGGAAGGGAGAGGGATAGAGAGCCAGAAACATCGATGAGAGAGAAACATCGATCAGCTGCCTCCTGTACACCCCCCACTGGGGATGTGCCTGCAACCAAGGTACATGCCCCTGACTGGAATCAAACCTGGGACCCTTGAGTCCGCAGGCCGGCGCTCTATCCACTGAGCCAAACCGGTTAGGGCATGGAGCTTTTAATTTTTATCTGTATTGCTAGATTTTTTTTTCAAAGTGTGATTATGAGTATTCATAAATTACTTGTTAATTATAAAATTCTTACTAGGACCTTTAGAATATTTAATATTTTAAAATTGAAAAACAAGTTATTCTCAATTTTCTTTGCTGTATAAGCAGGTAATGGTGACTGATGGTTTAAAGGGAGCAACAGGAAGAGGAAACAATTGATTACAGTTCTTAATAGGAAGTCTATATCTTCCTGTTATTCTAACAGGTTCTCAGTAGTTGCTTAACAAGGAAAAGAAGAAAGTTATTGGACTAAGCCTTTGGGAGGTGGAATTCATGCACTGCTATGATGTAGAAGTTTCTGATTTTGAAGAAGCAAGATGATCTATGTAGCTTCCTCTTTGCTATTCTAATACTCTGTATTTACTCGTGGATATCCTTCTATACTAATGTCCTTAACCTAATTGTTAAAAATGGGAGAAAGTTTCATTTAATATGATCAGGGAACCTACTTCTAGCTTATCTAAAAGTAACACAACTTTCAGTTGGTTCTGCAGCATGAAGGTGAAGAAATCAGGTAGTTGCTGCATGGACTTTACCCAAACTTGTGTTCTTCCTCTGCTTCTAGTTATCTAGTCTAGAGGTTATGTGTATGGTGTGCTCTGCTGGTAAGTCTCTGCTCTTTAGGCTTAACATACATGTGGGGCATGCATTCCTTCCAGCAGTAGTAGCTTCACTGTCACCTGTCTGGGCTTAGAAATGCTCCTTGTCTGTAAATGTGATTTAAAATCTAAGCCATGATGCTTTATTTATTAAAACAAAACATTTAAGTGAAAAAAATAAAACTAAACTGTTAGATTCCAGAGCCACATAACCACTATTGTCTCCTGCTGCTGTCATTGCAGTTATATTAAATAAAGCCAAATGTTGATTATTTCTGATACTAGGGATTAAATTAAATCATAGATGGCCCTAAACATAATTCTAGTTTGGGCTGGAGTTTCTGTTTTCCTAGTCAAAGTCTCTAACCAAGCTGTTAATTGGTAGCGAAATGATCAGGTTTGAGTTATGTCCTTTTTATTTTTTTAAATGTATTTTTATTGATTTCAGAAAGGAAGAGAGAGGGAGAGAGATAGAAACATCAATGATGAGAGAGAATCATTGATCGGCTGCCTCCTGCACACCCCCTACTGGGGATCAAGTCCGCAACCCAGGCATGTGCCCTTGACCGGAATCGAACCTGGGACCCTTCAGTCTGCAGGTCGACGCTCTATCCACTGAGCCAAGCCAGCCAGGGCTATGTCCTTTAAAAAAAAATTGTGAAATTCTTAATAAAACTGAAAAGGGCCAAAAGACAGGAAGAAGGAACTTTATAATGGATAATTTATAAACTGGACAGTCATCCCTGAATAATGAATGGTGGCTAAGTATCTTAAAGAACTCAGATGTAGGACTTGTATACATTCTTAGGATAAACCTATCTGACCATTTTTGACAAATATATTGAGCTCATAGATGTCTTGGGCCACCAACAAGTTAAATTGTCATCACAAACCACTATTTGAATAGGGGCTATTATTGGATGCTTTCTGAATTGTGTAATTAAGGAAATTATTTCTTAGAGTAAAAAAGTCAAAATACAAATATAAAGATCAAAATGAAAAGTTGTGTTGATCATGGCTGTTTTGGGAAGGACTGATGTCCAAGTTCTTCCTTCATGGCATATAATCTGGACTCTTTAATTTAAACATTGATTTTTGTTTTAGGTGGAACAGATCCTAGCAGAATTTAAGGTCAGAGCCCTGGAATGTCATCCCGACAAGCATCCTGAAAATTCCCAAGCAGGTAGGTATTTAATAGCTGTTTCTCATGGAAATGAATAGCATATAGAACTAAAAAGCCATTGTAACTTAATTTTCTTTTCTCTATTACTCTCAAACTTATTCTTTTGTTCAATGCCAAAGAATGTTTTTGTACTATTGGATGGTAGGAGGGGAGGGAAGAGTGTAGAGTCTTTCCTCTAATGGTAGTCATTGAACATCCATTTTTCTTTCTGCTGTAATGTGCTGCTTCATGGTTTAAAATGTGTCCAGTTTATGCCTTATTTCACCAGCATTGGACTGTTAACATAACTTAAGCACATTAGTAACCAGATGGTTGAGTTGATGAGAACTTTGCTGTGTTTTCTTCATTTCCGGGACCTGAACATGTCCACATATGCTACATGTCCATATGTATGATAATGTATTCATACTTTAGTTTTTTCATTTATGATAATTTAAAATCCATTATCATAAATTTAGACATAAATGCTTATGTATATCTTAACTTGAAAAAAAAATACTAACAAACTAAAATCCTTCCTTAACCTATCTTCCTCCTGCTCCTCTCCTTCCCTTTAGAGCAGTGGTTCTCAACCTTCCTAATGCCACGACCCTTTAACACAGTTCCTCATATTGTGGTGAACCCCAACCATAAAATTATTTTCATTGCTACTTCATAACTGTAATTTTGCTACTGTTATGAATCGTAATGTAAATATCTGATATGCAGGATATATTTTCATTGTTATAAATTAACATAATTAAAGCATAGTGATTAATCACAAAAACAATATGTAATTATATATGTGTTTTCCGATGGTCTTAGGCGACCCCTGTGAAAGGGTCGTTCGACCCCCAAAGGGGTTTCAACCCACAGGTTGAGAACCGCTGCTTTAGAGCCAAACTTTCTGAAAAAGAAGTTCACAATTGATTTCTCTACTTCTCTTCTGCCCAGTTTTCCCAGTCTGACTTCCTCCTCACCTTTCTTGGAAATTGCTTTTGTAATAGTCACCAAGGACTTCTTGGCTGCCAAATCCAATGGTTGCTTTTTTTGTCTTCATTTTCCTTGAGTAGCAGGATTTGGTACTGTGGATCATGCCCTCTTTCTTGAAACGCTCTTTGCTCTTAACAACCTGGGCATGTGCCCTTGGCCGGAATCGAACCTGGGTCTCTTCAGTCCATAGGCCGACACTCTATCCACTGAGCCAAACCAGCTAAGGCCTAACTGAGATACTTTTATCAAGTGTGTGAATAAATACATAAAGACTGGTACAAAAAATGTTTCCCTTATCTTAAAGGGAAACATTTTTTTAAAAAAATATATTTTATTGATTTTTTACAGAGAGGAGGGAAGAGGGATAGAGAGTTAGAAACATCGATCAGCTGCCTCCTGCACATTCCCTACTGGGGATGTGCCCGCAACCAAGGTACATGCCCTTGACCGGAATCGAACTTGGGACCCTTGAGTCCACAGACCGACGCTCTATCCACTGAGCCAAACCGGTTAGGGCTCTTTATTATATTTTTATAGCAATCCTTGATCTTTTTGATTTGTATAAGCAGATGTTTTTCCAATATAGGAAGTCATTTATTTTGTTAAATACTTAGCTATTACTTTTGCTCATTTGATTCCCACTCTTTTTATTAAGGCATAACTTGTTTAAGGCCACAGGAACAAATCATAAGTGTAAACTTGACAGATTTGTGTCTATGCACAGCCAGTTTAACCACTGCCCAGGTGAAGATGTAGGACATTTCCAGCACCCTTTTCATGTCCTGTTCAGAGTCAGACCCTCTCCCATTTGTGGATCTCTGTTGTCATTGATTAATTTTGCCTGGTTTTAGATTTCATGTAAATGGGATCATACAATATGTACTCTTTTGTGTGTGGCTTCTTTTGATTTACATTGTGTCTATGGTATTAACCCATAGTGCACATGTAGCAATAGTTCACTCTTTGTCATTGCTGGGCCTTTAGGTACAAACCCCCTCATTTTGTGCCCTCCCCCATCTCTCCATTTTCATTTTCCCTCCACCACCAGGCTAGGGTCCATGTTTTAGCCACTCAGAATATTTTGGTTCCATAGGTGCTCTTCTTTCTACTCTTCAGACCTTAACGTCTGCTGCTCCCTCTGCCTGGAACTCCCCTGAGGCCTGCACACCTCCCTGCCCTGCTTTGATTGGCAGGTCATGCTCCTGCATCAGGTCTCAGCTTAGCCACCTCTTCCTCTGGGAAGTCATGTGCGACTTCCAGAGCACTCTGTACGTCAGGCAGCAAACTGTGTATCGGACCATCTCCTTGTTGCCTATTTGCTTATTAGTCAAACTGGAAGCTCAGTGAGGCTTATCTTGTTCCGATCGGTGTGCCCAGCAGAGGACATCTCCTTTGTGCAAATAGTAATTAGTGAGTGAGTGAATGAGTGACTTCAAGAACATTTCTTTAGAAGACATTAAGTACTTCTCTGAACTGGAGTTAATATTAAAATAGATTTTCTAGCATAAAAGTGTAAACGTTTGATAAACACTTAAAAACAACTATCAGCCCCAGGTTATTCTTTAACTGGATTTTTCTCCCAATGAAGCGTGGCTTTGAGTATTTGACTGTCCCTGGCAGTTTCTATTTGGGGAACATTATGAATCACTGTGCAATCATTGCCATTTCTAGTTGCCATAGTGATGGAGTTTTCATGTACCGGCTACCTCAGTCTTCTTCTTCAGAGAAACACTAGACTGTGTAAATATTGTTTAAAATGAAAAGGTACACAGACATCAGTACCTTTCCTTGTCAGCCTTGCAGTTGACAGATGATTCAACCTTTGGGTAGAAATAGTTTTCAAGTCTGTTTAAGCATCCATTTACTCAATTTGGATGAATAATGTAAGTGGTTCTTTACATACTTGGAAAAGGATTATGGTTCCTGATAAAAAATATTTTAAGGTCCTAGCCGGTGTGCTCAGTGGTTAGAGTGTTGGCTTGTGGACTAAAGGGTCTCGGGTTCAATTCTGCTCAGGGGCACATACCTTGGGTGCAGGTGTGTGCAGGAAGCAACCAATTGATGTGTCACGCTCACATCCATGTTTCTCTGTCTCTCCCTTACCCTCCCACTCTGTAAAAATCAATGGAAAAAATATCCTTGGGTGAGGAGTACCCCACACCCCAATTTTTAAAAAAATGTTAAACAAAAATTCACCCAGATGCTAACTTTTAACTTGACAGAAGTCCAGAACACACTGGAAAGATTTTGAAGTGTATTTCATTAAAGTGAAAGGCTAGCCTGTAGAGCAAGTGTACGTAGGAGAAATTAAACATGTATATATACCTTTTTGGACCACTAAATGCAGTGTCAACCATTGCCATTGAAATCACTGATTTGTTAGCATGATGAAGTAGGAGATATGAACCTAGGTTGTCCGTCTGGATTGCTCCTAGCTCCCATTTCCAAGCTAGCTGACCTAGGGAAACTTCTCTGAGCCTGGGCATTCTCACAGGTACATGGGTAGACAACAGTATATTACTTCATGTGCCTGTCGTGAAGATTAAACGAGGTGTCCTGCATGCAGGAAGAGCTCAATGAATGTTGGCAATTATGATTCAGTGGACTTTCTGTTCTCAGCACTCTAAGATAAATATTGAACAAAATGGAATAGTTTCTTTTTTGTAAGTAACCATCAGAGCTTTCTTGCTTTCATTTAAAAAGAATTCTAAATCTAAGGCTTCTGGAAATCCCTCCTCTCCAGGTGTGGGGGATGGACAGAAGACTGGTTGTGCTATAGAAATTATGTCTTTGAGCTCAAAAGATCCCGACTGCTGTTCACGCCAGTCCCGTGTATGCGCGTGACAACAACCGTTTCAGGCCAATGGTTTAAAACTTCTCTTTGACCCTGAAGAAAGGGGTCAAAGGTTTTGTGAAACGGTGTTTTTGTTATTGATTTGCGGGCTTCAAAGACATACAGATATTTGAAGAAGGGCAGCTCTTTGTCCCTTTCTATTATCTTTGAATGTCTCAATGTTTTCCTACTTCAAAAACTCTTTTTTTTTTTTTTTTTTAAATATATTTTATTGATTTTTTACAGAGAGGAAGGGAGAGAGATAGAGAGTTAGAAACATCGACGAGAGAGAAACATCGATCAGCCGCCTCCTGCACATCTCCCACTGGGGATGTGCCCGCAACCCAGGTACATGCCCTTGACCGGAATCGAACCCGGGACCCTTCAGTCCGCAGGCCGACGCTCCATCCACTGAGCCAAACAGGTTTCGGCTACTTCAAAAACTCTTTAGCCTGGCCGGTGTGGCTCAGTGATTGAGCGTCAACCTGTGAACCAAAAGGTGTCTGGTTCGATTCCTGGTCAGGGCACATGCCTGGGTTGCAGATGTGCAGGAGGCAGCCAATAGATGTTTCTCTCTTATCAATGTTTCTATCTCTGTATCTTTCTCCCTTCCTCTCTCTCTCTAAAAGAAATCAATAAAAACATAAAAAATTGCTTCTTTTCCTCAGAATAAAAATAATACATAGTAATAAATAATGTTGAAAGTGAAAGTCAGCTCTCTCTGTCAGAGACCACTATTCACAGTTGGGATATTTTCCTTCAGACTTTTCTCAAAGCATGTTCTGACATCATATTATTATTATAACTTAAGTAATTATAAGTGTTCTGCATTTAAAATGTGGCTATAATAATACAAATTCTGTTGTGAAATATGAATTTAAAAGAACCTATGTGTTTTCAAAACAGGAGTTAAGCCACAGTGTCTCTCAAAGGTTTCAGCATCATTTGCTCGTATAAGCTTACAAAATGAGATCTCTCTTCCCAGACCTGGTAAATATTTATCTTGTGTGATTCATTTGATTAGCTGATATATTAAAGGAGAAATATAAGCCCAAACTCATTTTTATTAAATGTGGGAAAGAGGATGAAACAAGGAAAAGGCTTTCTGCTTATCAATTGTTGTTGAGGGACTGACATCAGAATAATTCCAGGCAGGCTTCTTTTGTTCCGGAAACTCTGGAAAACAGGCCAGCAGTAATGTGCAAAGAGAAGGTGACTCACAGGTAAATATGTAAATATTTACAGCCCCTACTCAAGTAGTGTGTGCATCTGTGGTGATAATTTAATGAGCTTTTTATTCCTGTTGGGAAAAGTGACATCTCATTTATACAGAGAGACATTTACATGGTCACCAGCAACAGGAAGGATTGCTCACTGGAGCCAGCTGATACAACAAGATGATTTTTATTTGTTTCTTTGTTTCCCTGTAGCTTTCAATAGCCCCATCTTTAGGTTCTTCTCTTTAACCTGTAAGTGCTACTACCTCCAGCAGTGATATTAAATAATAATGGCCTGTTAGGTACTTATGCTGTCCAGCCTTAGAGCAGGGGCCTGGAGGTGCTGTCTGTGGCAGGCTGCGTCTCTGGCTGCTGGTGGGGGGGGGGGGCACTTGAAGTGGTGTATTTGGAGGACTGGGGCTCAAAATGTTATAAGGGTATCTGTGATTTCTTTGTGCTTAGAGCTTAGGGAATAGCACTGTGTGATTATTGTTATGTTCACATTTAAAATAGGAGACATTCACTCATTCATTCAGTGAGCAAATACTTTTGAGCACCTGCTACCAGCCGTGGGCAAACTACGGCCCGCGGGCCGGATCCGGCCCGTTTGAAATGAATAAAACTAAAAAAAAAAAAAAAAAGACTGTACCCTTTTATGTAATGATGTTTACTTTGAATTTATATTAGTTCACACAAACACTCCATCCATGCTTTTGTTCCGGCCCTCTGGTCCAGTTTAAGAACCCATTGTGGCCCTCGAGTCAAAAAGTTTGCCCACCCCTGTGCTATGCTGTTGCAGTACAGGGGATGCAGCAGAGAACAAAAGAGATAAAGTCTCTATCCTCATGGTGGGTGCATTCTGGCAGAGGAGCCAAATCACAAACAAATAACTAGATAATGTCAGGGGATAAAGAAAAGTAAATAGCCCTAACCGGTTTGGCTCAGTGGATAGAGCGTCGGCCTGCGGACTGAAAGGTCCCAGGTTCGATTCCGGTCAAGGGCATGTACCTTGGTTGCGGGCACATCCCCAGTAGGGAATGTGCAGGAGGCAGCTGATCGATGTTTCTCTCTCATCTATGTTTCTAACTCTCTATTCCTCTCTCTTCCTCTCTGTAAAAAAATCAATAAAATATATTAAAAAAGAAAAGAAAAGTAAATAAGGCAAAGGATGATGGGGCAAGCAGCCATATCTAGATGGCATGGTCAGAGAAAACCCCATTGGCAGGACAATAAGAGGGCACCTGAGCCAACATCTGAAGGCAGTAACGTGAGTGCCTGGGGTAAAACTGTTCTTGGCAGAAAGGACAGAGGACAGCAAGTGCCAAGGCCCTGAGGCTGAAGTGCTGTCAAGGAGCAGCAGGGAAGCTATGAGGGCTGTAGCAAGGGGAGAAGGGGAGAAGTAGAAGGAAATGAGATCAGAGGGAAGAGAGGACAGGGCAGGCAGAGCATGTCAGCTTACCAGCCATGGTAAGAATTTTCAGCTTTATTCTAAGAGAAATAGGAAGTTGCTGGAAGTCATTTTGAGCAGAGGAGTGATAGTATGTGACTTATTTTTTAAAAGATCACTTTAACTGCTGTGTAGAAAACAGACTGAGGCAAAGGCAGGGGGATCAGTTGAGAAGCTACTATAATGATCCAGCCGAGGCAGAACCATGGCTTTGGCCAGAGCAGTGGCAGTGGAGGTGGTGACAAGAGGTCAGATGTTGGGTATATTTGAAAGGCAGAGCCAGTAAAGTTTGCCAGTGCATTAGAAGCGAAACGTGAGAAAAAGAGGAGTCAAGGATGAATCCAAGTATACAGGAAATGGATGAAATATTTCCTGCCTCTCCACACAGAATCAGTCTTGCCTCTCTATTTCTGTTTATCACATATTGAAATGATTTGTTTATAGATCTGCTTCCTTACTTGACTCTGAGCTCCTCAAGGGCACAACCTGGATCTTATTGATGAATGATGAAGTGTTTACTATTCCTGGCAGTGAGAGAGAAAGGAGGAATTAGAGCAGTGGTTCTCAACCTTCCCAATGCCACGATCCTCAGTATGACCTCTAAGGTCCTGGATACTGGGTGCTTTTGTGCACTCTGCAGCCCTATCCCTCATTGTTCTTCTGGCCCTGTGTCTCCCAGCCACATTGCCATTCCCTACTTCCTCTACCTTACCATGACTTAGGTGTTTTTATTTGTAATGTTCCTCTAGCTTGGTCATACCCTCCCAGACAAGAAAAGGTAGTTTTCTTCCTAGTAGACAAAATTATAATTTTCCCAATGTTTATAAATGGCTATCCCACTGAATAGATCATGTCTGTTTTCACACCTGTGTCATCACCTGGAACAGCACCTGGCACATTACTGGAGCTCAGTAAAGGGAGTGGATAAACTGAGAGCCAGGCACTTTACAGACATAATCTCACTTGTCCTTATGGTACACTTTACAGATGAGGAAACTAATTGTGAGGAGCTGAAACTGGTCCAAGGTTACACAGCTAGTAAGTAGCAGTGACTGTTTGGGAGTTTTAAATAATCCCTCCAAGAGAGTAGTGCTCATCTTTTGATTTGTTTTCCAGTGGAGACTTTTCAGAAATTGCAGAAGGCAAAGGAGATTCTGACTAATGAAGAGAGTCGAGCCCGCTATGACCACTGGCGAAGGAGCCAGATCGCGATGTCATTCCAGCAGTGGGAAGCTTTGAGTGACTCGGTGAAAACGGTAGGTGTCTCTCTGGGATGAAGTGAATTTATGAAGCTCAGGCTGCCCATGGATTAGACTTACATAGTAACTTAAATAGTCAATAGGGGATGGGGGGGAGAAGGCCCAAAAGGTGGTAGAATCTGGATGAAAGTCAGTCGGTGTCCACAAAACCCTGTGAAGGGAAATGTAGTGGATCAGTGCCAGAGAGCCCGTGACTATGCTTGTGAGTCTCTTTAGCCATTCGACTGGTTATATACACTCCCCGTTATCATTTACTGTTTTATACATTCTCATAACTGTGCTTCTCAAGTTGCTCATACAATACTGCTGAATTTTGAACCATTGCAAATTTATCTCCATCTTTTTAGTTCATATGAGCCTGGTCTCTTCTCAAGGCGTATAAACTCCATAAAAAAACAGGATCTGATTAATCAAAGAAAGCTCTAAATTATTTATAAATTACTTTCATTATAAAATCTTATGAAAGAATTATTGGATAGACGCCGGACTAAAGCATTGTATTATTTCTTCATGCCATTAAAAAAACCCTAAATATCAAAATAATCTCTATATTTACTGTTATATGTTTATTTTGTTTTTTTACATTAAGCTTTATATATTACTAGAGGCCTGGTGCACGGATTTGTGCACCGATGGGGTCCCTCAATCTGGCCTACACCCTTTTGCAATTTGGGCCCCCTCGGGGGATGTTGGACTGTGGGGATTGGGCCGATTAGTCTGACATCCCCTGAGGGATGTAGCAGTGTGTGAAGCAGCAGGCGGCTGGGGAGGAGCCCGAGCAGGGCCAGGTGCTGCGCCACTCCTGATCATCCCGGCCCCACTGTGCCTGCTGCTGCCACTCGGTAGTGCTGCCATAGAGGTGGGAGAGGCTTGCGCCACCGCAGCTGTGCTCACCAGCCGTGAGCCCGGCTTCTGGCTGAGTGGTGCTCCCGCTGTGGGAGTGCACTGACCACCAGGGGGCAGCTCCTGCGTTGAGCATTTGCCCCCTGGTGGTTGGTCAGTGTGCATCATAGTGACCAGTTGACCGGTTGAGTGGTCGAGTGGTTGAGTGGTCAAGTGGTCAACCGGTTGCTTAGGCTTTTATATATATAGGTAGAGAAAATACAATTTTAAAGGTTTCTACATTCTTAGACATGACTCATTATCCAGTTTTTTTTCTATAGGGACACTTTTCTATGGCATGAGACTTAGAATACAGAAGTTACCTTACAGGCAAGTCTTCAGGGACATTTATTAGAATTAACCGACAAGGTCCTAGCCAGTTTTCTCAGTGGTTAGAGTGTTGGCCTGCGACTGAAGGATCTCGGGTTCGATTCCAGTGAAGGGCACCTGCCTAGCAGTTTGATTCTGTCCAGGGCAGGTGCCTCGGTTTCAGGGAGGCAACCAATCAATATGTTCTCTCACACTGATGTTTCTCTCTGTGTGTCTTTCCCCTTCCCTTACACTCTCTTTCAAAAAAAAAAAAAGATTTAGTCACAAAACAATTCACATCTTTTATTTACTTTTTTAAAATTTGATGAGAGAGAGAGAGAGAGAGAGAGAGAGAAAGAGAAACATTGATGTGAGAGAGGAATATCAATTGGCTGCCTCCCACACTTGCCCCAATGGAGGATCAAACCCACAGCCTGGGTGTATGTACCCTGACTGGGAATTGAACCCTCCACCTTTTGATGTATAGGACGATTCTCCAACCAACTGAGCCACATTGGCCAGGGCTGATTCACATCTTTTACATTACAACCTGTCAGCATTACATTTAAATTTCTTTCTTTTTTTTTTTTAATATATTTTATTGATTTTTTACAGAGAGGAAGGGAGAGAGAGATAGAGAGTTAGAAATATCGATGAGAGAGAAACATCGACCAGCTGCCTCCTGCACATCTCCTACTGGGGATGTGCCCGCAGCCCAGGTACATGCCCTTGACCAGGATCGAACCTGGGACCTTTCAGTCCGCAGGCCTACGCTCTATCCACTGAGCCAAACCAGTTTCGGCTTAAATTTCTTTCTTAATAGTTTTATTTTAAGAAGACTTAAGCAAATTGTTTTTCCATTGACAAAGGATCTGTAATAGTAAGCGAGGGTCTTTGAAGTAATTGAGAAGAACAATGCAAAATTATCAAAGTACATAGTTAAAGCCACTCTACATAAAATGTAAATAATATTCTTCATCTCATTTTGGAATGAGTGTATATTCATATGATTTCTTAAGTGGGTTAATTATTCATGAAAAACTATTGAATATCTAGAATGGGGTAAAAGGTTTACTGTTCATATGGAAAATAATACAATAATTAATAAAAAATAATACAAGAATAAATTCTGTGTTTTGTGTACTCACAACTGTAAATCTACTTTTGCCATGTCCTGTATGCACAAAATAACTAGAGAGAATTTTTTGTTTTTATTGATTAAAGAGAGAAGGGAGAGGGAGAGATAGAAACATCAATGATGAGAGCGAATCACTGATGATCGGCCGCCTCCTGCTTGCCCTCTACTGGGGATCAAGCGTGAAACCTGGGCATGTGCCCTTGACTGGAATCGAACCTGGGAACCTTCAGTCCACAGGCTGATGCTCTATCCACTGAGCAAAACCGGGTAGGGCTAGAGAGAATATTTTTAAAATAGTGACTTAACTTCACATACTCAAAAGTAAGATTTTTTTCCCTTTTACATCGCGTATACCTGCAATTCTTTGTTGGCACGGACTAAATAGACATTGTTCTACCACCTCTGCATAACCATATTTCCATTCTGCTGTGTGTGACACACTGTAACTGCAACTGTGACCCTTGCTATTTGAATGCCTTTTGATTTATAGTTCATTTTTCTTGATGATCCACTGACTCTTGTTACTTAATTTTAACTGCTAATATCAAGTTAGCTGTGGTTCTTAAAAAAACTCTTCTCTAAATTCCTGCTCTAATTTATATTGCCAATGTCTTTCCATTAAATACTTATTTTTTGTCTCCAAACACATCATTTCTGCTTTGAATTTATCTTATCTATGAACTGTTTGAGGTCTTACAATAATTACATTTTAGATCTTACTGGCTACGTCATTGATCTTGTCAGCAAAATTAAAACAGTCTGCCAGGCTAGCGTTTCGTTTTGTATGTATTCTTATTATGATACAAAAATGATGAGATGCATATCTTTCTGCGTTAAATTAGCAGTGTTATGTTTTCTTGCACAGTCTTCTTTGGGCCAAACCTTTTTTTGCTTCCGACTTGCTTTTGCTTCTCTTTCTCAGTGGACTTTGAATCCTGCATGCCAAGTTTCACATGTTTTGTTTTGTACCTCATTCGTTAGACTTTCTGTAAATTTCCTTTCATTCTTTTCTGTTTTCGTCCTCACAGTGACTTCTGCATGTGAAAGCCTCCCCTCTCTCTGTAACATTTTAATTGTTGCTTTCTGTATTTGTGCATTTCATTTGTTTAACTTTTCACATTCACTATAATTATTGTCATACCTAATATTGTTCATCAACTCATAGATTGGGGCCTGTCTTTTTGTAGATAAACATCAGCATTAGGTCTTTTGGGATATATATATATATATAACATATGCCATTCTGACAATAAAATGTTTGTAAGTTAGGGTTTGGGTAATAGGTGACATTTATCTAAAACACATGTGCATGGCCACTTGTTCTACACATTTAGAATGTTAAATCTCATAAAATCCCTACCTTTCCATCATCAACTCTGTGTTTCTGCTTTTTATTTAAGCAGTATAACCCCCCTTGAAGGAAAAGCATTGGTAGGGAATGTTAGTCCCAGCACCTTCAAGGCAGGACAAATCACAATGCATTTTTGCAGCATCACACACAGGTTCATATTGCAGGACTCTCCTTTGGGAGAATTCCTTAAATGACTCATTTCTATCATCCAAGAATGATGGACTGTAATTGGTAATTTTTTTTCCTCCATGCCAAGCACCTGCCACTTCACTAGCTATTTATCTTTCTTTTCCTTTTTAGAAGTTCCTCCTGGTAGTTTAGTTTGTAAAAATATTTTAAGAATTCATTGAGGTCAATGAATATGTTGGAAATTTAAATTTAGATATGGGATGTTGGTTTAAAAAAAAGGGATGGGGTGAGGGCTTCCGTAACCAGGGCCTTTGGGAGCTTGGGATAACTTGAAAACAAGATGCCCTTCTAGCTCAGTGGATTTTAGGGAAATTCATTATGGTCATGCTATAAATGGTTTTCTTCAAGGGACTCAGGGGATGAATCTCCCTTTAGCTCCAAAATATATAGCAGAATGCCTTTAGGATGGCTGTGGGAAAGTGGTTGCAGCAAAGCCACAGTCTAAATCAAGTGCTGAGTAAAATTCTCATAAGCTGTTAAAACTGCTATAATTTTATAAAGAGTTAATAAAAATATTTTTTTGATGAATTGATTGTTTGAAACATTGATTGTTACTGGAAGGGCTTGTTGGGGCTGCCAGTCACCCTCACGTGGACCTCTTGTCTGTTATTTCTGGCTGGACAAGGTGTCTTTGGGATGAGTCCAGTTGGCTACAGGCTACTAGGGAAGCTTCCTGGTTTCCCTGGTAGCCACAATTTCCCTAGCCAGATGGGAAACAGTGTGCAGTTCAAGGTCTTCTGGGCTTATTCAAAGGCAGTTTGTCCTAATTGGATGTTACCCAAAAACTGTCAGAGGTCACCCAGGAAAGTAAAAAAATATGTACTCATGGAGAGCCAGGATAAAAATAACCCATCAATTTTGAATAGTCACTTAGCTGAACCATGGCTCACCTGAGTCCATTGATTTTTTTCTAATTGTCTCAAAGTTTACTATAGACACAATGTATTTATATCCAGTGTTAACCAAGGTACATAATTCAAGAAAATGGCTTTCTAGATATAAAAAAACACACAAAAAACCTGACAATCCATGAAGGAAAGATGGTAAACAAGTTAATTGAGAAGCAGAACAACATGCCAGTTTCACAGAATAGGACAGTGGCTTTGCCCCCAGGCTGGGTGTCTGTTTAGTGTTAGCCAGCTCCATGCATACAGTGATTTTCATCTGGGCAATTTATTTTACTGTCCAGATTCTCCCCTCCCTAGAATTCCTCTTTGTCTCTATCATCTGCTATCATTTGATATTTTTATTGATGCTCATTCTATTGATCTGAGTCACTCCACAGTAGTTTGCTTGATGTTAAATATTGTTGTGCCCAACTGCTATGCTAGTGGAGCTGAGAAATACATTCTATGAACACAGAAATGTCTGATCTAATTGTGTCCCAGCAAACCAGGCTGCTTAGCATTGCTCTTATGGTAGTCCTTTGATTGAACTATAAAGCGTAAGAGGTGCCTGTATAGGTTAGATATAGTTTGGATTTTCCCCTTGAGTATTTGATTAATTGGGATCAGCAGATATGAGGGTTGATAATAAAATACTTTATTCTGATTTGCTCATAAAGGGGATGGATGAGTAAGACGACTATCTCAATATCTTTTCACTGAGTGCTTGGAAAGCATTTATTATAGGTGAGTCATTTGTCCTTCACCCATCTAAGGCATATCATAGGTCCTTTTATTCCAAGAGAGAAGTGCTAAGACACAGAATTAATATTATACTGTTGTAATTAATTAATTATTAATAACAGGATAGGAGCAAAGGGAAGGCCAGACATTATGGAGATGTTCCCTGTAAAACACTGGGGGAGGGAATCACACAGGGAAGATACTGGCCTGTCAGTCACGCCTGGTAAATAAAGTGGTGCCTCAGGCAGAACTTGGCAACCCCAGTGTTGTAGATAAGTTCAGACTTCCCGGAAAAGGAATGCACTACAGATGAAACACGATGTGCCCCTTGCATCATGCGGCACGTGTGTAGCAGAGGCGGTGGCCCCTTTTGTGGTTCTGGCACAGTTTTTAAATGTCACAACTACTGACCTAATTCAATAACCTTGAACTTCAGAAAAGCAATGTTTTGGTTTCTTTGCTTTGATTTCTTGACACAGTAAACTCTCAATCTCTCTTTCTCACTCTGTATTCATTTATTCTTCCATCTACCCATCTATCCAATTTTAAACATTTTTTTTAAGAGCAGACAAGTTATTTTTTTTAAAAAAATATTTTTATTGCCCTAACCGGTTTGGCTCAGTGGATAGAGTGTCGGCCTGTGACTGAAGGGTCCCAGGTTCGATTCCGGTCAAGGGCATGTATCTTGGTTGCGGGCACATCCCCAGTAGGGGGTGTGCAGGAGGCAGCTGATCGATGTTTCTCTCTCATAGATGTTTCTAACTCTCTCTCCCTCTCCCTTCCTCTCTGTAAAAAATCAATAAAATATATTTTTAAGAAGTATATTTTTTTATTGTTTTCAGAGAGGAAGGGAGAAAGAGAGAGAGATAGAAACATCAATGATGAGAGAGAATCATTGATTGGCTGCCTCCTGCGCACCCCCTACTGGCCCGCAACCCAAGCATGTGCCCTTGACTGGAATTGAACCTGGGACTTTCATTCCTCAGGCCAATGCTCTGTCCACTGAGCCAAACCAGCTAGGGCCAATTTTAAACATTTTAATAGGAAATACATACACAGGACACAAAATAGAAAAGGTACAAAAGGGTCTATGGGGAAATGTAACTCTCTCTTACCTTGTTCTTCAAAAAGTGTTACCTAAAAAATGATTCCATTTTTAAGACCGATTTTTGATTTCTTCCATACTCCAGATCCCACCATACAAAGCCAGGGTTATGCTGGCAAAATCACACAAACTGTAACCCAACCCAGGTTTGACTACCTGTTGTAAAGAAAGCCAAACTTGTGAGACAGGTACTGGTGTAAAGGAAAGAGGTGTATTCGAGTGTCAGCATCTCAAGAAGATGGGGGACTCCTATCCTCAAAAACCCATCTTAATATCTCAGTGCAGGCAGAGATTTTTTTAAGGATGGAGAGGGAAAGCAGAACAAAGAGATAAAGGGAGGGGTTATGGACTTGTCTCTCTCCCAGGAGTAAAGGGGCGGGGAGTGAAGGGGAGTATGAATATGCAGTTTCTCAAAATTCTTCCCCTCCTTTTAGTGCTATTTCTCTTCCTACAGGAGTTTGTAGGTTTAGGACACACGTTTAGGTCTTCACAGCTGGCGTCAAGCAGCCCTTCTCCCGCCCCCCCCCCCCACTCCCCACCCCCCGCCCAACAGGCTGCTCTAAGGGGGTGGGGGGAGGGCTAGATAAGAAATGAAAACATAAGGACTTTATTTATATACACTAAGAAAACAGTTGGCTATAGCTTTGAGAGAATGCAGTATATGTATACATAAATGCATATACTTAAATGTTAATTATGAGTACATATCTCTGGACAAAAGTCTCCCCACCAGGAATATCTACACATTCTTTTTAAATATATAAATATTTAGGGGGGAAGAGAGTTGTAATGGTATGTGTATAAAATATATCTATATCTTCCCCCGGAATATATAGGCAGCTGTCAGG